GAAATTAAAGGTGTGTTGATGGATTCACCTCGTCATCTCATGCACTGAGTAACATTACAAGTTAACGTTCCACCTTAAAACTCGCCAGTAGTCAGCCCAGTTAATTAAAATATTTTCTTCTCAGTCTCCAGCTGCTGCGAGAAGCAGCAACACATCCTTTCATTTTATAGTTACAGTTTACCAATAAAACTCTCCACAGTATGAACAGTGGTTACATGAGCCTCAAAACCAGCCACAACTCAGCCCTGAGCAGAGTGACCGTCCTCTACTGACCAATCAGACTGCAGTGTTCACTGCTCCACCTTTTAGTACCAGATCTGTGTGCTAGGTACCCCAACAGAGGGGGGACCAAACATGGGGACGGTACAAAACGGTTCCATTGGTACCATCCACAACTTTTCACGGTGGAAACGGGGAAAAAAATGCACGGAACGGAATCGTACTTTACAGCTCGGTGAAAACAGGGCTTTGGCCACAGTCTACCTTTGACCTTCTACATATATAATGACATCACTTCATTATTTTCTTCTACTAGACTTTTGTGTGAAATTTTGTCAATATGAGCATATGAATTATGAGTTATGGTCAAAAGTATGGTTGTTGAGGTCACAGTGACCTTGACCTTTGACCACCAAATTCTAATTCTTAAGTCCAAGTGGATGTTCATGCCAAATTCTAAGAAATTCCATCAAAGCATTCTTGAGATATCCCGTTCACGAGATTGCAACAAACGGACAACCCAAAACACAAGGTATAACGATGAATGATGAAAACGAGTTGGGTTTTAATAATTTCTTCACTTATTTTAACAATTGATTTATATGATTATTTACTTCATAATGTCGTTTAACACTTTGGGCTTCCATACATGAGCACTGACGTCTGCTCCTGATCTTCCTTGGAGCTATTTTGGGAACCAAATGTATCCTTTCCCCCTCAATCTCTATTCATGAATTCAGATGCTTTGTATCAAACAAACAACATGCGATTACAACTTCTGCCAACACTGACCCAAAACTTTCTCTGGGATTGCTCTAAACTGCCGGGGACATAAATATTAATACAGAAATTTTCACAGCTTGTGTACCAGGAAAAAAAAAACCCAGATGCTTAAATGTAGTTTTGGAATGATAAATTGAACAGCTGATTGCCTATCCTTTAAGTTTCAGCTCTGCGATGGCGTGAAAAAGGTAGACATAACAGCAATCAGGGTAAATCTCTGACTGGCGGACGATAATGATGTAGAAATGTCGAAGGAACTGCAACATTTAGTGAGTCTGTCAGAAGCTGCTGTGACAAAGTTCACACACTACTACGCATTCATTAAGGCAGCATATGCATACCATGATGATACAGCCTGCTTGGCTCCAAACCAGTATTTCAGCTCTGTTTACACCACAGCTGAATCCAAACATACCACGACACAGCCAGTACAATTACCAACAGAATGGAAGGTTCATTACATATTTCCTCTCCTTGTATTGTATGTTTTTAATTGTTTTCTTTCACATTCAAATTGAAAGAAAAGCAATACTATGAGACCTTTTAATATGAATATATTTCCAATTTCACGACTCCTAAAACCTGATTGATAAAAGAGAGCGACTCATGGAATATCTAACATTTGTTGTCCCTAAAACACAGTGATTCACAGTGGATGTGACCCATTACATGTTTTCGTCAGCAGTAAAAGTGACATTTGTTTGGTATAAACAGACAGCAAGCTGGGTATTTAGCGTGAGCCGTGACAGCTGTTAACAATGACAGCATCAGTAATGAAAGTAGTAAAAGCAGTACTTTGTGTGACACAAAAAACACTTAAATTTGTACATACTGACTTTTTCTGAGCTTTAAGCTACGTCTCAGTCATCGCTGGGAAATGGAACTGGGTCCATTTTTAAGTGTGGAGTGAGGGTCAAGAGACCAATCTTATTGGCTAATCAAGAACATAAGATGTGGTTGAAAGTAGGGCTGCAACTAATAGGCATTTACATTGTCAATTTATCTGTCGTTTAGTTGTTTGATCAATGAAATATAAAAAAATGGTGAAAAATGTTGATCAGTATTTCTCAAAGCCCAAGATGGTGTCATTGAATGTGTTGTTTTGTCCAAAGATTTTCAGTTTACTGTGAGAAACCACAAAATATTCACAATTAAGAAGCCAAATTTAGAGAATTTTGACTTTTTTTTTTTCTGAAAAATGTACTCAAACTTGATCAATTATCAAATTTGATTTAATACTTGACAACTAATCGAACATTCATATTATCATTGCAGCTCTCGTTCAAAGTACGGGTGTGCCATATCATCTCGTTCCCAATAGTACCTGAACAATTTTTAATATTACTAATTTTTAAAAATACATGTCGTGATACTCGCAATATTTCAGCTTATTGACATATTGATATCATACTGTTACCCACGGCAACAACAAGCATGGCTGAAAGCGAGATTATTACAGACTCTGTCTGAGGTGTTTCCAAAAAGAGGAGCAGCTTCAGTAGTGTGGAATTAACTGTGGCGTCCTGAGTGTTTTATGAACAGCCCTGGACTTCTCAGACTCTTTTAGTGACTTAGTGCTCAGAGTAAACTCAGTCAGCAGCTCCTCTGGCAGCAGCACAGCGTCTCTCCCTCTCCTCTCTCGCCGTGTCCTCAAGTGATTTTGTCATAAACCTTTGGTAATGTAAACCTACGTGACGCTTGCAGCTCGACAAAAACCTCAATTCTATGTGCCTCAATTAATAATCCTTTTTTTTAATTTTTTTTTTACTAATTTGTCATATCCTAAAGAATATTGTTAACGCAGAAATACCCTGAAATATTGTGATATTTATTTTAGAGCCATATCCCCCACCCCTAGTTGAAAGCTTCATCGGTTGACCTGTGAGTTGGGAATTTTTGCCATACATAATGTTCTCAAATCAGGTCAAGCATGGCCTTCCCTATCTGATAGTAGTAACAGCACCAAGGTAGCAGTAGTAGGAGATGTAGAAGCAGTAGCACTACAGTCGCACTTGCACCCTCTGAATGACCCTGTACTAATCACCAACACTTCTGTGGCTACCACAGAAGAAGTTGCAGTATAATTCCATGTCCAGCCTGATGTTTTCATGTGAGCTGATTTATGTTTGACAGCCATTTTCAGTGACCATAGAAGCTGCTACAGTGGGTTATGAGCACTTAATGTTTTCCATAATGATACTGTCTTAAAAGTTCTGACACAACCTGTGCAGCTGCATCAATCTCATGGCAAAAATGTCACAATTTTCTGTCTCTATTTTTCATGAATGTCGCTTTTATTCCAGCTCTGGCACAGGAAGACAATGTCCCCATTCCTCATCTCACAAACAAAGCCATAAACACCAAACCTATCAATGAAATGAATGAATCAATGCAAAAGTATTTGGTCTTTTATTCTGGTGTGGGACCAGACTGCCACGTCCCACAGACATAAACACCCAGTTTTCATAAAAAAGACTTTGTTCCATTAGAAGTTTGTAAAAGTATCAGGAACTTGTCTGGCTTGAGAAACTACTTGCCGGGACAGTTTTTATTTCCTATGGGGGCAGAATAAAAGGAGCCCTTGTTGTTGTTGTTGTTGTATGCAGTCAATATGACTGGTGGCATTTTCGGTCAGGTTTATGTAGCTCCACCTACACCCGCCCACCAAGGATTCATTTGTCACATATACATACTGTACTTAAAATTACTTGTGTAAAATGTGATCTGAGCAGCAAGGCCTTCAGCAGTTATTTTATCGTTTTTTTTTTATTGATTTCATTTCTTTTACGGAGCTTGTGGTTGTGACACCATTTTGACAATTGATTTTTTATTTCCTCTCTGAACAGTTTGAGCAAAGTCAGTAGGATTTTTTTTCACATATAGCCATGATATCATTGATTACCTAGATTAAACCACAACAAATTCCAGCACAGTGGCCATTGGAATTACAAAAGTAGAGTCATCATAGTCACAATCTGGAAATCCATCGATAAAAAAAAAAAAATAATAATAATAATTATATATATATATATATATATTCTTCCTTTACCTCTGGAGGCACAGCCCGGAGTTTTTCGACTAACTAAGTGCAGGGGCCTCACGCCCTTCACTTCCGGCGGTGCCCCCAGGGAATCGCCATGTTGTTTACAAATACTTTGGGTAGAAAACCAGCAGAGTTTAGCTATATATCACATTTTTCACGTCACTATATCACCGTGTAGACTAATCTGATGTTTGTTAAGTCTATAAACACAGTGATTGAACAAACATTACTATTTCTGTGTGCACGTAATTAACATGGTTATCGTAGATTAGCTGGGCTAACCGTTAGCTGTTAACGTTAGCCGTTAGCGTTGTCTATAACCATAGACTGTATAAAAATAAGGTAATAACTCAATAAACGGTCCGTGAATAAAATATTTTTTCCAGCGGATATCTTAGTTACAACATGATTGAGCTACCAAAGCAGTTTTGTGTTGCTATGTGTGGTATTTATTCAGTTATGGGAAATCACGATGTCTAGAAAGCATCAGTGGCTGCAGCTGACAGGGACAGTTAGCAAAGCTAACATCAGGACGTCATCTGTTAAAAGCCTCCCGTTGCCGGATACGACATGAAACTACTCCAGTTAGCTCAATCATGTTGTAACTAAGACATCTGCTGGAAAAAATATTTTTTTTCACGTTGACGAGACGGCATTACTGGAGCGGTCGCTATGGACGCGGAGCTTGCTGTTTCTGTAAGTACACATTTCCTGGGGACACCTGCAAGTCTCGGCCACGCCCCCTCCACTGTGATTGGCTAAAGCGCAGCATCGTTCAAACTCAAAGCCCCCCCCAGTCGTCTTTCACACAGGGCTGCCGACAGATTCTACAATGCAGATTGCAGAATCTGTCTTGAGAGATTATCATAGTCATAGAAGTAGCAGCAGTGCTAATAACACCCACTGGTCTGCGATCTCTCCCAGTAGCAGTAAACACAGTGGCTTTGCGTCCTACCTTGGTAGTCCACTGAGATGTCGGAGGGGGGCTGCAGCAGAGCCGACCTGCGGTAAACCACGTGGACCCGGCCCTGGTCCTCCAGCTCCTGGGTGCCTCTCTCCAGTGGCTCGATGAAGTACTCGTCTGAGTCGGTGCGGATCATCCCAGCCTGCAACACAACACCAGGCCAGTGAGTGTGTGGAGCTACGCTACTCATACAACAAGTGGACCTGCTGCTGGACTGAGAGGAAAGAGTACGAAGCATGGACCGTTCTGGACACTGCTAAAAAGAGCGACCTATCATAACCAACTTATCCTGTTGGGGGTCTTGTAGAGCTGGAGCCTATCCCAGCTGACATTAGGTGAGAGGCTGGGTACATCCTGGACACACATACAGTACACATACACATACATACAGTTGCTTACACGCACACATACAGTAGAGACAGACAATCATTCACACTCACATTCACACCTACGGACAATTTAGAGTCACCAATTAACCTGCATGTCTTTGGACTGTGGGAGGAAGCTGGAGCACCTGGAGAAAACCCATGCTGACACAGGGAGAACATGCAATCTCTGCACAAAAGGGCTCCCCCACCCTTGGTTCAAAGGAACCCGCTTGCTGTGAGGTGACAATGCTGACCACTGCACCACCATTCTGCCTGCACACAGTTATGCTAAGGCAATTCATTCTGACATGTGTAAGTTTTCTAATTTTGTCTCAAAATCCTAGAAAAAAAGAGGGCATGATATTACGAGAATATAGTAAATGTTTCTGTGAGTGATCGATGAATTCTGTTCTACTCAGTGATGTTTTGATTATAAAACATGCTTTCGTCATTTTTTCCTCCATTTTCTTTGTTGTCTGAAAATATGTACGCTGCATTCTGGTCCTGGCGTGTTTGATTTGATGGTGTTTTATAAACCCGTGTGGGCTGGGAATAAGTGTTTGCATGACACAATAGTAACAGTTTTATTCATTTATTCATCTGTCAATGAGGTCACAAACCAAGATAACTATTGCATTGAGCTGTGACAGTATCTTCAAGAAAATCTGTTTGTTTATGTAAATTTATGCAGCAAGGTTCTCAAAAATTTAATGAGACAACATCTTTATTCTCTGGTGGAAATTAAATCTATTTCATGGACATTACACAGACAAACCGATGGCAGCATAATGTCTGACCTCATAATGCACTCGGGACACAGAGACCAGAATTGCAGTATTGCACAATGTCCTTTTGTGATGGGTTGTGTGTGTGTGTGTGTGTGTGTGTGTTAAATGTAGTGATGGCTTGTGGAAAGAAGCTGTCTCTAAGCCTGTTTGTCCTGGTTCTGATGGACCTGTAACACCTGCCAGAGGGCAACAGGACAAACAGGTGTGAAGCAGGATGGGTGCTGTCTCTGATGATTCCCTTAGCTCTGCTGCTCTCCTGAGCACTCTCAGGAAGTGCAGACGCTGCTGTGCCTTCTTCATGACAGCCGTGGTGTTTGCAGTCAAGGAGAGGTCGGCAGAGATCATGGTGCCCGGAAAAGTGAAGGTGTGGACCCTCTCCACGCAGTCGCCATTGATGTAGAGGGGGGACGTATCTGCTTTGCGCTTCCTGAAGTCCAGGATGATCTCCTTTGTCTTTGTGGTGCTCAGGGCCAGGTTGTTTGTCCCTGTAGGCAGACTCATCTCCACCTGAGATCAGCCCTACCACCTTCGTGTCGTCAGCAAACTTCACTATGGTGTTGCTGGTGTGGGCAGGTCTACAGTCGGAGGTGTAGAGCGTGTAGAGTAGTGGGCTCAGCACACACCCTTGTGGGGAGCCCGTACCAAGTTTCACTGTCTGGGGCCGGTTTGTCATAAAGTCCTTAATCCAGAAGCAGGTTGGTGGGAGGAGTCCCAGGTCAGACAGTTTGCTGACCAAGATATCAGAGATGACTGTGTTGAAGGCTGAGCTGTAGTCGATGAGGAGCATCCTGACATAGCTCTCTCAGTGTTCCAGGTGGCTCAGCGCGGTGTGAAGGGCGATGGCCATGGCGTCCTCGGTTGATGTGTTTGTTCTGTAAGCAAACTGGTGGGGGTCAAAGAAGGGAGGGAGGCAGGCTTTGATCTGGTTCAGCACCAGCCGTTGCAAGCACTTGGGGATGACAGGTGTGAGTGCAACTGGGCAGTAGTCGTTTAGGCTGACCATGGCTGTTTTTGGGGTACAGGGATGATGGTGGCAGACTTCAGATAGGCTGGGATGGTGGCCTGTGTCAGGGAGGGATTGAAGATTGTGGTGAAGACCTGGGAGAGCTGGTCGGCACAGGCTCTGAGTACCTTTCCAGGAACACTGTCGGGTTCACCCTACTTAGCATCCGTTTCACATCCTGAACCTGCACAGTCAGTGATGGGGAGCTGGTTGGGGCTGGGATGGTGTGGCTGCAGACTGTTGGGTTGGGACCTCAAAGCGTGCGAAGAACGTGTTCAGCTCTTCTGCTAGTGCAATGCTTGAGTCCTCTGCTGTGCTGACCTGCCCCCTGAAGTTGGTGATCTGCTGGATACCCTGCCACACCTGTCCTGGGTTGTTGTTTGTAAGGTGGTTTTCTACTTCCCTCCTGTAGTCAGACTTGGCTTTCCTAATTTCTCTCTTCAGGTCAGCTCTAGCGGCGCTGTACAGATCTTTGTTACCTGACCTGAAGGCAGTGTTGCGGTCCTTGAGGAGTGTCTTGAACTGGTTGCTCATCCAGGGCTTCTGGTTGGGGAACACCTAGTGCGTTTGCCCACCAAGACATTCCCCATACAGAACTTGATGTAGGATAGTACAGCCTCCGTGTGTACAGCCAGGTCCTGATGTTCAAAAACACTCCACTGGGTGTGAGCATAACAGTCTTGAAGTTGAAGAAGTGCATCCTCAGGCCATGTTGTGATGCTCTTTATCAGTCGAGTTGCCCTTCTTCTGAGAGGTGTGTATGCGGGGGTTAGGAGCAGAGATAGGTGGTCTGACTGGCCTAAGTGTGGGAGCTGTATAATGTGTTATTCCCTCTGGTCAGACACGTAGCATGCTGATAAAACCTAGGCAGGACAGACTTTAAGTTTGCCTGATTAAAATCACTAGCAATGATGTGCACACCGTCGGGGTGAGCCAGCTGTTGTTTGTTTATGGTGTGAAAAAGACAGATGTGCTAATATAATATTCAGAAATGTATTCAAGAGACAATGTTCCAAAGGACTATCTGCCTGCTTAAATGTATCTGGGTCTTTCCATGGGGCATTTTTTCCATGCTGTTTTGATTCTGTTCCAGTGACTTACAATCAGTTGGCAATTATCAGCAGGTTCCCTGACGGCTGCAGGTGGTGATCACAAAGCTCCACATCATTAGAGACACATTGGAGTGAAATTGCTTTGTGATCGCTACCTGCTGGCCTCAGATTTCTGCAATAAGACGCCAGTCATGCCCATCGTTTAGGGCGGATATTAAAGGGTCAAACTCTGCGGCAAACATGATGATGACGCACACACAAACTGAATGTACAGCTCATTAAATTAAGGTGCTGAAGTAGGTGACATACATGTGAAAGGCTGAAAAGTGTAGGGACAAAATGAAGCTGAAGTTGAGGTGTTAGCATGACAAGTGAATTTGCACCGCATTTTGTTTAACCCACTAAAGACACCTTCTAAAATTACTGAACATTTTCCCTACACAAATATCACAAGTGTGCCGCTAATAAACTCAGAATGCTAATGAAGCCTGAGCTCTGAGTGATGCTTTGATTCATCAAGGGCATACATGTAAAATGCAAATATGTACAGTGCTAAAACACGTGTCACTCTACTGTGAACAACATCGGCATCCCGAGAGACAAGAGGAACACATAATGAATTAATGTTCAACAGTAACGTTCAACCTTTCGAGAGCCAGTTTTCTTGGCAGTAAACAAAAATGCTTCTACTGTGCACCTGTGCGCAGACAGAGCCACATCTCACAGAGCTCCAGAGAAATTTGTTCCAGCTCTCTGTCAGCCGGTCGGTCCGGCCTCCGCTGCTGCACCTCGGCAGGCCTCACCTCGCTCTGGCCTCACCACTAACACTCTGTTGGCCTGTGCACATATGGTGCTTTGCAACCAACATGCACACTGAACTCGTTTCCAACTCCCATAGTCCCCAGTCAACCAAACACTTCCCCCTCTCTCCTCCTATTTACATGCACAACTGGCTGGACTCCAATTTACCTTCTTACTCAAGTTTACATTAACTTTGAACACATTAACAGAATATTCATGTCCCGAGGTGTGCTGCACATAGATGAACAGCCTGCCAGTAAAAGTAAACTAAAGGTTTCGGCATCAAAATGACCTTTGCTGCTCTTTGTAGCAGGAGAAAAGACATGATCATCCCCCAAATCAGTACTGCTTATTGCTACTTTGTGACCACAGTGCTGTGTTAGTCTGATTTGTTCCAGTTCAACAGGGCCAGATTTCTTATGGCATCACAACCAGGGCTGCTGCAAAATAGTCTTTATGCTTACAAATGTTTCTAACTGAGTGAAATTACCTGAAACTATCTTAGTGGCAGCCACAATAAGCACTGGTCGAATTCTCTAAACACTAAGGAAAGGTTCTTCAGTGCTTCCTGTCTTATCTCTTTAAGCATAGGATTCACTGGACCAAAGGAGAGGAGATAATGCTGTCCCATATCTCCTCGCGGCAGCAACATTCAATAAAGGTTGCTTGTGCAGCTGACTGTTTTGAATGTCTGTAGCATGTTGCCAGCACACTCATAGCACAGCGGAGAGGAAAGAAGGAAAGAACCTGAATTTTGGGGACAGTTTACTGCAGGATATTCTGTTCATATTATATGAAATGAAATTTGGATTTGACAGCTATGATGACAGCTAGAGGTTATCAGAGCCTGAATGGATGTAATGAATACAGAATAAGAGAGATATGGTGATCTTTGGCCCTTCTTCCTTATCAAGAGGAACAGCATCTCCGTTAGATGACGTGATTACAGTCAGAAAGGGATACAAAAGAAAGTCTGGACTATAAGGCTGTTGCCGCAGCGGCCCGGGTTCGACTCCAGCCTGTGGCCCTTTGCTGCATGTCACTCCCTCTCTCTCTCTCCCCCCTTCACACTTGTCTGTCCTATCCATTAAAGGCTAAAAAGCCCAAAAAAATATCTTTAAAAAAAAAGA